CTTTCCGTCAATACTCACAGCCCACATCCTCAGGGACCTTCAGATGCAAGTCACCCCCGTCCTCTCTGCCCTGCACTTGCTGTGTCCTCAGAGGCCACAACACTCCTCTCTCCCCTCCACCTTCCTCACGGTCCTCCTCGCGGGACTGAGCTGCAGGACGGGACAGGCGCCCTCCCCAGGCTGTGGTGTCTGTGTGAGGAGGCATTGAGGGCCTGGGGGACTGAACTCACCTCAGCACTTCTCCTCAGCGGGGGCGCCGCCATTGCACTCTGTGGGCTGAGCCGGGCGGGAGCAGCGGGAAAAGCCGCTCAGGAATGGCGGTCCCGTCCGAGGCCTGGCGCTTCAATCCCACGTGTGAGCTGTGCGCACCCCTGCAGGCTCCCACCACGGGCTGTGAGGCGGAGAACACCACTCTCCAGCCTTCTCCACGGGACCCTGCGACCAAGAACTCTAGAACCCAGCTGCCAGACGAAAGAGACAGAAAACTAAATCCGACCAGGACTACCGGTCCCGCCCTCCAGAACTGGAAAAACAGAAACGCCTCTTCTGAGCTTCCATTGGCTCAGCCTGGTGGCATTCCACGCCCGGCCTTCTGGGTAATGTAGTTCTTACGCTCCAAGGCCAGGATCCTGTATTTCCTCAGCTGCCTCCCGGACTGGTTTTGAGGGCAAATAGCCCAAGGACACACCAAGTATACTCAGGGCCCTCCAGCGCCTTCAGGGGAGGGGATTATCTGGGAAAGTCTGTTTCTGAGGCGCCTGCGTGGCTTCCTTTAGCTGCGGGGTTTTGCATATCTTTCTTCAGGACCTGCTCTTTCTGAATTGCAGGCATTGTTTCTTCATTGACTTTTGGCGTGTGTCTCCTTCAGGCAATATGTAGCTAGGGGAGGTTGCTCAAGTCTCTAACTGCTTCTACCTGCCTCTATTGATTCCATTATACAAAGTTAATGTCACAGAACAGACACTCATACTTTAAAGGCATCTGCTTCTGATGCCATCCAAAGTGCAGCTCTGCCTTCGGCTGCAGTGTGGATAAGATGGCCAAGAGATATGTGAAAAAATGCTCTAAGTTATTGATCATCAGAGAGATGAAAATTCAAAAAACAATTAGGTATCTTCTCCACCCCTCAACCTCCTCCAGGTCTCCCCAGTTTAGGAAACCGTGGTTGAAATATTGAGAACTAGCAATCCTACTCCTCACACATCTTTCCCAACCTCAACCTCCTCCAGGGCTCCCCAGTTTAGTGTGGACACCAGGCCCTAATGCCAATGCTGGCTGCCTCTCATCACAGTCCCATTACTCACTGTGACTGCCCTCGGCAACAGTCGGGCTGGGAAGGGGGACAACAGAGAAACACCATCTAAGCTCTGGGCCAAGCAGGCAGGGTCCCAGCCTTCCTGCCAAGCAATACCACTGCAACCTCCAAGATCATGCCTCCAGGACAAAGACAAACCTGGGCTTATGCTTCACCCTATAGTCCCAACACCAGTCCTAGCTGGTTTGGCTCAGTGGATAGAGCATTGGCCTGTGGACTGAAGGATCCCGGTTGGATTCTAATCAAGGTCCCATGCCCTGGTTGCAGACTCCATACCCAGTAGGGGGTGTGCAGAAGGCAGCCTATGGATGATTCTCTCTCATCATTGTTGTGTCTCTCTCTCTCTCCCACTCTTAAATCAATAAAAATATATATATATTTTAAAAGTCCCGATACAAGGTCTCCAGGACCATCAGCTCACACTTCCTCCACATGTGCACACCACTGTGTAATGTCTACCCCATCCTAACTTCAGACCCCAGATTCACTGCCTCAGCTCTGCCACCTTCCTGCTCCACAGCACAGGACCTCTCTGGACTCACCCATGAACGTGGCAAATGGCAGCCAGAGAGAGCTTGTGAGGTTTCAGAAGGATCTACCACAACCCAGTTCCTGGTGGACCCCACAGCCTGGGGAAAGCAGGGTATGCAGCTCTGAAATCTTCCATGCCTGTCTCTGATCTTGGTTTCAATACTCACCACCCACATCCTCAGCGGAATTTCAGATACAGGTAACCCCTGTCTACTCTGCCCTGCATTTCCTGTGTCCTCAGAAGCCACAACACTCCTCTCTCCCCTCCACCTTCCTCAGGGTCCTTGACAGGGACCTGAGTTGCAGGAAGTGACAGGCACCCTGAACCCAGGCTGTAGAGTTCAGGGTTATGAGGCAGGGAGACCATGAATAGCGATGTGAATGCACCTGAGCTGAGCTCAATTGAGCAAGGCCAGGGGGTGGGGTGAGGGGGAATAGAATGTAGGACATACCTTTGAAGTAAAGAAGAACTAGCATGCATAATATAAACTTTAAATCGAACTCGTTTAACTTTTACTTGAACGTCAATAGAGATAAATACACTTTTGGGAGACTTGAATTCTGGCAAAGTAACTGGTGTTTTTGTTAATGTGAAGGTGCCACTGTAATGATCATAGTGAAAGATAATTCGTCCCATATGGACATATTGAAGATGTCAGTGGAGTTGATGTTTCAGGCATTCTCTATGAGATAAGATTACACAAACACTCACAAATTATACTTAGAGTAAATGAAATACATATTCATACTGAAAGCTGACCTATGTATATATAGCTCCAAAACTTTAAAACCACATGAGATATTATAAACAAATAATGATGGGTATGCATAAATGCAGTGACTCTTAAAAATTCATAATTCTTAAGAAGGGTAAGAAGCTTGTACTACTTAAAATTTAGAACCAAGTCTGGCTGGTGTGGCTTACTGTACGAGCATCAACTTATGAAAGAGGAGATCAGGGTTTGATTCCTGTTTTGGGCAAATGCCTGAGGTGTAGGTTTGATCCCAAGTGGGGCGGGGGTCCAAGTGCAGGAGGCCACTGATCAATGATTCCCTCTCATCATCGATGTCTCTATCACTCTCTCCCTCTCCCTTCCTCTCTGAAATCAATAAAAATCTACTTTTAAAAATTCAGAGCAAAAAACACAGTGAAGTAGAAGCCCTATTGGAACATGTCATAAAGCATTAAAACTAAGTAACGTAGCAGAGGAGTTGAAAAAAAATCTAAAACGGGCTAGGGCTAGAAATAACTTCTAAATGAAACTAACCTCCAGGACACTGAAACTGGCAGAATGATCACAGCAATGGTCTGACATTCTCAGCAAAGTTCTGATACCGGGCCCTACCTGGTTTGGCTCCGTGAATAGAGCATCTGCTTGGGGACTGAAGGATCCTGGGTTTGATTCGGGCAAAGGGCACATGCCTGGGTTCTGGACTGCATCCCCAGTAGGGGGAGTGCAAGAGACCGCCCATGCATGATTCTCTCTCATCATTGATGTGCGTATCTCTCACTTCCTCTGAAATCAATTAAAAATAAATAAATACATAAAAAATTTAAAAATCAATAGAAAAAATATCCTCATTTGAGGATTTATAAAAACAAACAAACAAGAACAACAAACTTCTGACTTATTCTTAGAAAAAATACAATCAAACAACAGTGAGGTAGAATGACAAAATTACAGAATATGTTTAATCTCTAGACTGTGTAGAATGTGAACACCTCACACACTGGTGGAAAAATGCAAAAAGGTACAATCAGTTTATTTCTAAAGAACATTTGATTAATTTTTAAAAATATATATTTATTGACTTTTTAGAGAAATAGAAAGAAGTACCAGTGATGAGAGAGAATCATTAATTGGCTGCCTCCTACACACCCAACACTGGCATTTGAGCTGGCAACTTGGAAATGTGCCCTGACTTGGAATTGAACCATGACTATGTGGTTCATAGATCAAAGCTCAACGAATGAGTTACACCAGACAGGCAATTTTATTAATATTTGGAGAGAGAAAAAGGGAGAGGAAGAGAAACATGATTTGAGAGTGAAACATTGACCAGCTGACTCCTCCACACCCCATTCTGGGGAGCTAGCATACAACCCAGGCACAAGCCCAATAATTGAACTAGTAATCCTACTATGCATGGGATCACACCCCAGCAAGTGAACTACAGCATCCATGATGGTATATTCAGTTTAGATCACAAAATGTTAATTTTTGTAAATTTAAACATTCAAATACAAACCAACTCAGATTAGGCACTGAATTTTTGGTAAAGGTAAATGAAACTTCTAGTCATATAAAGAATTATACAGCCCTAACTGGTTTGGCTCAGTGGATAGAGCGTTCGCCTGTGGACTGAAAGGTCCCAGGTTTGATTCCGGTCAAGGGCATGTACCTAGGTTGTGTGCACATCCCCAGTAGGGGGAGTGCCGGAGGCAGCTGGTCGATGTTTCTAACTCTCTATCCCTCTCCCTTCCTCTATGTAAAATCAATAAAATATATTTTTTTTTAAAAAAAGAAGAATTATACAGTAACTAGAGACGTGGTGCACAAATTCATGCACAGTTGGGGTCCTTCTGCCTGGCTGGCGATCGGGACCATCCAGGAGGTCTCGCCCAGTCCCCGAGAGAGGTTGGCCTCTGGTAAGGAACTACAGGAGGGCTCCAGGGCATGTCCAGCCCTGTCTCACCAATGTTCCAATCAGCCAGACCCCAGCAGCAAGCTAACCTACTGGTCGGAGCGTCTACCCCTGGTGGTCAGTTTGCATCATAGCAACTGGTTGATTGGTCGACCTCTTGGTCAGACACTTAGCATATTAGGCTTTTATATACATGCTAGAGGCCCAGTGCATGAAATTCATACAGTGGTGGGGGAGGGGGGTCCCTAAGCCCAGTCTGACCCCTCAGGGGATGTCCTATTGAGGGCTTAGGCCTAATCTGCAGTCTGGCCCCCCTCTGCGGGCTTATGAGGGGAAGGCGCCACCCCATAACACTGCTGCTTACTGCCACTGCCGGCTGCCAAGGTGTTTTCGTCAATATGGACTCTAGTCCATTCACCACAAAAAAATGACAACTTTCTTTAGGCATTTTCAAGATGTCTCCTTCATAGGATATGACATTTCTTTCTTTCTTTTTTTATCCTCACCTGAGGATATTTTTCCATTTTTAGAGTGTGGAAGAGAGAGGAAAAGTCAGAGAAACATCAGTGTGAGATGGACACTTCGATTGGTTGCCTCCTGCATGAGGCCTGACCTGGGCCCTGGCCAGGGAGGAGCCTGCAACCTAGGTACATGCTCTAGATCAGAATCAAACCTAGGCCCATTCTCTATCCACTGAGCCAAACAGGCTAGGGCAGGATATGACATTTCTTAGCCCCTCCAGCAGCGGACCTTCATTTTTTCCTCCAGGAGTGAGGTGGAAAACCCCTTGATCACCTTCTTGGAGTCTTATTACCCAAGTTATCAAGAACACTGCCAGTAGAATACAGGGAGCTTAGCCAGTGAGTGGTCAGAAAAGGTGTTTCCTCTGCAGCTCACACACAGAAGCAGGCCTGCTGGGACCAGGTGGCAGCAGAGGCTTGGGCACGCCCCCCTGCCTCCGCTCCAGGGCTGCGCCATTTGTGGCTTGCCTCACAATGCAAGCAGTCCC